GACAAAAATAGTAATACCGGTGTGTCCCGATTCATTTAATTCTTAATATTTTGAATTGAAATAAAAACATTTCTTTATTTGGATTTAATTCATTTAAAACTTTAATTGGAAAATTCAAATTCCATATTTATAAATCTGCAATAAGAGACTGAATGTGGGGGTAACACATTGTTATGTAGGGTATTTTAGACTGAAGTAAATCATTTAAATACCGGTACACAGAAAAATAAGCTTGTAGCATTTTAAATGCCTGGGAAACACACTTTTTGACATTTTAAAATTATGTTCACTATCCATAGGATTTTAAAACCAGTACAGGGAAGGAAAATGACTCCACCATCAGCATGAATTCATTATAGCGTGTTCGTTATAACCATGTTTACTGTGTAGATATTTCTTCCCTTATATCATGATACTAGACAGTGTAATAAATACATTTTCCTAATTGTTTAAGCCAGTAGTTTAAATCATCCAAAATTGAAATTTACAGTAACATTTTCTATCAGTTTTTCTGTTCTGTCTTAATTAACCGCCTTGGTGAACTGTTCATTTTCTGAAAATTTAGCAAAATCTTATATCATCTTTAGCAAATTTTTCTTCTACCACTCCTTAGAAGCTAATAGTGCTGTATTAAGGCACAATCTATTTGACAAAATAAAGATTACCGGTATTTTATGTTTGTTGTAGAACAACAAAGTACACATGTAAAATTTTAACTTCATGGAAACAATAAAAACAAAATTTCAAGTGTCTAAAAATTACAATTTATTTATACATGTAGTCATAACTAATGAAATTATAATATAAATGAAATTACAAAGTGTCCCATAACATCTTTTAGAATTTTATGAAACAGTGTAATCATGGAATTATTAGATTAATAGTTTTACAATTCATGTCCCATATTAATTCACTCTTTTTCACTTGTATTATATTATGTCAACAGTCAAATAAATATTAAATAAACAGAATCATGGTGTTCGCATGAACAAATGAAGTTTTTTTCTTTATCACCAGTAGTTTCTTTCAACAAATTCACTTTCTAGAATTTTTTTTATTGTAAGTTATAAATCCACCATTACATCATACTGTTCATGTCCTCTACTGTCCCTGCCCTCTACTATTAGGAATGAAGAACACTTATCTTTTTTTAAAAAGCAGAATTTTGTTTGAATCATCAGTCTCCGACATCACTGTAGATTGTTCGGTCCTTTGAATGAAACCATATAAACCGAGTTTCAGTGTCGCAGTTCATGTAGGTGTAGGTACGAAAAAGATCTCTCACTTTTCAAAGGCTTTAGTGCTGAGTACAGGTTAAAATATGCAGCCCTTCACCGGAACGTGTTGGCGTCTTCATATGAATGAATTAGATCTAGATTCTTATGTGCGGTGATGAAGCAACAAACTGTGGACTGTTCATAGCACTCCATTTCTATAAAAGTACAAAGAAGACAAGATTTATTCATTGATGATTGCATCACCTTAACATTATTTTTTTTTAATCTCCCACAATTTTAATTTGGGAAAAACACAAATAATTAAGAAATAAGGTATCATTTTTTAAGATCTATCGGGATATAAATACGGGTTGGTCACGAGATTAAATTCCATAAAGCCTAAGGGCTTTATGATGAATTTTATTTCATACCAACCCGTATTCATAGCTCGATAGATGTTTAAAAATATACCTTATTACTTATTTTTACATTTGTGACTTATTCATACTTTATATTAGCCTGATAGTGACTTTTAGAGTGTGAAATGCATTATTTTTTAAACTCAACGGCAAGTATGTAATCCACTGACCCCGTGTCCACCCTTTATGACGTCATTGAGAAATTACGTCAAACGATTATCTATACGCACATCTACGACCTCTTGTCCCCGTACCAGTATTTATACAGGTATAGATACGCATTCCTTTCAGTAGTGTTTTATAAAGGAAAACAATTGCAAATGTAAATATTTATATATATATAATTATATAGACTTCCTATTGATTAAAGCTTGTGTATTTAATTGAATTGAGATCTTATTTGCAAGGGTATAAATGGATTCAAGTACATTTGAAAAACAAATTCTACATACAAAACTACTTTGTTATACACAATTTTCCACTATGAAGATGCTATTCATCAAACATGGAAAAGAATATGTAGTGAAAAAGTTTTAAAATAAATGTATGCATATTTTCAAGCACAGATTTTCTCCCCTATATATCATAATGATAATTATTAATTTAGCTATTTCAAAATTTGTACACAAATTCATTTATCTGCACAAGTTTTTATAAAGTTTAAGAACTTTCGCATTAAAAAAATATTTACACCAGATTCATTAACATAAAATCAATTATTGCATTGGATTAATTATTAGGTTTTGTTCATTACACCTCAGTCTATGATTAATTGATTGCAGATAATCTCGTCAAAGGCACTGCGACTTTTATTTCTGACTTCCGTAAATTTAGAGGAAATTCGGATTGAAAAACTTCATAGCATGTGTTATTGTGTATGCCCATAAAACCCTATAGAATTTTGTAGTAATTAGTAATACGCACAATATCATACTTTTATTATATTGTTTAACTGATTTTTCATGCGTAAGCGTAACTACTTACCCCTTTATCACCGATCTCAATATCATCAATCCGTGGCATGGCCTCACCAGTAGACTCCATAGCGTTTGGTGATCAGCTGATTCAGATTTGAAAATATCACGGGGTTATTGCTATCGAATTAATTTGATAATAATCTTAAGATTATATTGGCCAATTTGTCAGCAAGAAATACACTCTTTGTATTTATTTCCGACTGAAATAGGACTGTCTATTTGCGGTTTCGTTTTGTGAAAATCGAATCTGTAGTTTTAGTTAACCAGGATAATCCTGATTTTAAGTAGGTCAATGCTGGTTTTAAAGTAGGTCAATGCTAGTTCTATCCTTTGCTTGCTGATGCTGATCCAAGTAATGCTGTTTTTAGGTCACCTGAGTAAACTCAGGTGACCTATTGCTATCCGTTTTTGTCCGTCGTCGTCCGTCGTCTGTCGTCCGTCGTCCGTCGTGCGTTAACATTTAAACATTTTCAGCTTCTTCTCTGCAACCACTGAACCAATTTCAACCAAATTTGGCATATAGCATCTATGCGTGAAGGGGAACAAAAATTGTGAATTTGGTGGTCCCCGCCCCCCTGGGGCCTGGGGGGTGGGGCAAAAACCACTAAAAATAGTGCAATCTTTAAAAATCTTCTTCTTTACTCCCGGACATCAAGCAGTCAAACTGTTGGTATGATTGTAATCAACATTGAGTCCTCTACCAAAATTGTGAAATTCATGCCCCCAGGGTCAGGGGTTCTGGTGTTAGGGAGGGGCTCTATTGATTATATAGTGAAAATGCAGTAAGTCTTTAAAAATCTTCTTCTCTGCCCCTGGGTATTAAATAAACAAATTAAGTTCATAGTTATGATGAGCAAGAGTGGCTCTACCAAATTTGTGAATTTTATGGCCCCAGGGTCAGGGGTTCTGGTGTTAGGGCGGGGCTCTATATTGATTATATAATGAAAATGCATTAAATCTTTGAAAATCTTCTTCTCTGCTCCTAGGCATTATATACACTAATTCAGTAAATAATTATGATGAGCAAGAGTGCCTTCACCAAAATTGTGAAATTCATGGCCCCAGGGTCAGGGGTTCTGGTGTTAGGGCAGGGCTCTATATTGATTATATAATGAAAATGCATTAAATCTTTGAAAATCTTCTTCTCTGTTCCTAGGCATTATATACACTAATTCAGTAAATAATTATGATGAGCAAGAGTGCCTTCACCAAAATTGTGAAATTCATGGCCCCAGGGTCAGGGGTTCTGGTGTTAGGGCGGGGCTCTATATTGATTATATAATGAAAATGCATTAAATCTTTGAAAATCTTCTTCTCTGCTCCTAGGCATTATATACACTAATTCAGTAAATAATTATGATGAGCAAGAGTGCCTTCACCAAAATTGTGAAATTCATGGCCCCAGGGTCAGGGGTTCTGGTGTTAGGGCGGGGCTCTATATTGATTATATAATGAAAATGCATTAAATCTTTGAAAATCTTCTTCTCTGTTCCTAGGCATTATATACACTAATTCAGTAAATAATTATGATGAGCAAGAGTGCCTTCACCAAAATTGTGAAATTCATGGCCCCAGGGTCAGGGGTTCTGGTGTTAGAGCAGGGCTCTATTGTTTATATAGTGAAAATGTATTAAATCTTTGAAAATCTTCTTCTCTGCTCCTAGGTTTTAAGTAAACTAACTAAGTAAATAGTTATGATGAACAAGAGTGCCTCTACCAAAATTGCGAAACTCATGGCCCCAGGGTCAGGGGTTCTGGTGTTAGGACGGGGCTCTATTGATTATATAGTGAAAATGCATTAAATCTTTGAAAATCTTCTTCTATGCTCCTAGGTTTTAAATTAACTAATTAAGTACACAGTTATGTTGAGCAAGAGTGCCTCTTCCAAAATTGTGAATGCCTTAGCATCTAGCTTAAAACATGAAACAAATTCAATCATTTGAAAGTTGTTGCATGATGCTCAGGTGACCTATAAGGCCCGTGGGCCTCTTGTTTTAAATGCTGATGCTGATGCTAGCTCTATCCTGATCCTACTTATGCTGATCCTGATGCTGGTTTATGTAACAAAATTAGTTCCCTGTACTGTACATCTAATAACATCCATAGAGGGTCACGTCAGAAATCATTCGGAACAGCTCTAGACTTAATCGCTTCAACGATAAACGATGATTTTGCAGGCGACAATTTAATTGGTTGATTGAATTTGACCTCTGACGTGACTTTCAATGGTATTTTGTTAGATGTTAGTGTAGTGAGTATGCGAGCGGATCTAACATCTAATTTTAATTACATGTAGATTGGAATTTACCTGAACAATAATACAGGAATTTGAAATATAAATCACATTTGCGATGAAAGGCAACATGAATAAAAATGTAAATGTAAGCATATGTAAATTATTATCCTCTTAAAAGTATAGATATATAACATTGTTGCATTTTTTTTTTACATTCTGTCTTAAAGTTTCAAGCACATTGACACTCATTGGAAATCAGTTTTCAATTTGCCGTCACAATAAAACAAATAAATCCATCTAAGTGCTGGTCAGTAACAACATATTTTTATAACTCAGTAAGAAGGTTTATTTTCCCAACAGCATCTTAATCAAGTTCTTCATATGTATCTGTTTTGTCGATGGTTTCAAGTTCAGCATAATCCGATGTGACCCTATTGTGAAAGAAGAAGTTATATTCATACGCATATATATTTTCGGAACCTTGTGTACATTATACAGTTCATGAGAAATTTAAAAGAATATACTTACTTATCTTTGCTGTTACATTCATCTAAAAATAAATAAATATTAAAAAGTTGTACATTTGAGATTTTAATGAAGATTGAAGTAAGAGATTATTTATTCTACCACAATTATTGGCGACTTCAAAGAAATACCGCGGACATTATTCTCCAATAAATCACGAACGTCATCAAAAAATTATCAGATCAGAAAAACGTATCAAACTTGAACAATTTAATTGCATGTTTGGCTGTAGAATGAAATACTTGTTTAGACCACGTCGATGTGTCGTGTTTTGCAGTATAAACACTGTAAATTGCATAAAGTTGCTGATGAATGTCGTTTTTTATAGCTAAGCAGGCTATTCAACGGCCGTATTTTACCAATTACAATAGACATGGTAGAATAGAATTAAAGTCCTTGTTATCATGAATGATGCAGAATACCCTCCTCGGTCTCGAAATGTTGTTTGAAATATAAAAGCCTCGGCTAACACCTCGGCTTTTATCTTTCAAACAACATTTCTCGACTACCTCGGAGGTTATTCTGCAACATTCCCGAAAACACGGACTTTATTTATTAAATACTCATTCTCTATAAGCATTTGAACACCTTTACATTTATTGAAGCACGCGAGAGTTTAACTCTCATTTTATGTTGTTTTCAAGATCTGAAACACTTTATAATGTCTCTTGTATTTATTTGAATAAAATATTTACTTCCCAACCCAGCGTATTGGTTAAAGTGTCTGCTCTAGAGGAGCGAATGTTGATCCTTGAGTCAAAGTTTTTACTAAACTTTATCATAGTTTCAAATTATTCTAAGCAGTTTAATAACTTTTCTACTTATATGATATTTTTTTCAATATTTAGCTGTTTAGGCGATCGATATGGGTTGGTTGGGGTTTATTATTGCTGCACATTTGGTTTTAAAATACAAAGAAGTTTAATCAAATACAATATTTACATTTATAGAATGAAAAAAAATATGATTGAAGTTAATGATCAAGCAGATATTTTGCTTCTAAATAACGCAAATTTTATTTTATAGTTTATATTCTTATTATATTAATTAGTATACATGTGTATATATAATATATATAAACAAAACTAATGTTACATTTGCATAACATTAAAATTATATAAACTTAATAAATATTGCTTATTCATCGTTACGAGAGACATCCTTTACATTATTATTTATTTATTTTACATTATTCAATACGTAAGAGTTCGAATTTTTAAAAAAAAAATATGTCATGTATTTTAACCTGAAATATAAGATATAAAGAATGTGAATTAAAAACAAAGTTCCAACGTTTTTATCATAGTAAATCAAAGATCCAATAATTTCACTTTAGTAAATAAAAGTTCCCGAGTTCAAATGTTTTCATTATAGTTTTACTATATAGTAAATAAAATCCCACATTTTTATTAGTGAATCAAAGCTCAAATTCCAAAGTTTTAACTTTAGTAATTTAGTTAACTATAGATAACTATAGTATTTTTGTTAGGGACAGCAATGCTACTAGATTTTCATGCGACATTCATTCTGAAATCGATTCTGTCCTTTGGCTTTTGATCTGCTCCGAGCTGGTACTTTTCCTATGGATTTCTGAGCTTGGAACCTATTCGCTACTGTTAAAATTATCTGTGTCTATGCAAGAAAAGTGAACGAGCTTACAGAGTATGTCTTTCATATAAGAAAATTATTATGACATTGTCAAAATTAATTTACCTTGAAAATTGAAGTCAGAAAGCTGGCCCTTTGGTTTCATTTCCCTAAAAATTATTTGTAATAGATATTATTTAAAATTTGCTTTTCTTTTTTCACCTTTCATGAAGGTTTTTCTTACCTTGACAATATTTTATTAACAGTAAAGACAACTTTTAGGGGTCCCGAACATCTATAAATATTCGTAAGAAAGTTTAAAATTTCTAATACTAGTATTATTTTTCATCAATAAAAACAATAGAGCCACATAGAAAATTGATTGAAGTATGAAGCGCTGCTTATTTTTTCAGAAATGATTTTTATATCAGATCATAATACGAAGAAATTTCAACACAGAAACCAGAAGGAGTAACAATTTATTTTCACGACAAAAAGTTTAAAATATGAGATGTATATGAAAATAATACTTTGTATCATACCTATTAAATAATGTTAGAAAACAACGTAAAGCGCTGCTTTCTTAGTCATATCACAATGATGTATGTAGTTGTAAGAAAAAAATGCATCTGTGAAGAGGAGTTAACTTTCTTTTAAATATTTCTTCATGCGAAAAAATGTAATACTAATCAAAATTCTGTATTATTTACTTGAAACATTAAACCATTTTTAAAATGGTCCTCAAAAATATATCTTAATAAGGCTTTTAAAATTGGTTTAAAATGTTTTTTTTTTTGGTTATATATCATAAAAAATTTGGACAAAAATTGTAAAAAGAAATAGAAGGTAATGTTGCCATCGTATGTTCGATTTAATCGAATTGATTATATAGAAAAAAAATACAAAACAACACAGTATCAGTAAAAGAAATCACTGTTGTTTACTTCCCCAGAGAAATTACATGTAAATAACATGTTCACTTATTTTCCATTGACCTTTTTAAAATGTTAAAGAATTCTTCGATTGATTAAAAATTGTGTAATATAATGTTAATTTCTATTTTTTAGAATTAAGATATAAGGGCAGATCACTCTAATTGCAAAAAAAAAACAAAAAACTCTTTAGTGTGCAGTGTAAAGAGGGTTCTTAGGTATCACGTAAAACATGAAAGAAATACTGAAAATTACCTTCCATGTCCTGCATTTACTAAAATAAAGAAATATACATGTACATAATAAAAAGAAGCATTAATTTTCTTTAACTTGTTGCAATTTCAGAGATGTTTGTACTTAGTATTTTCGTCTTGTTCATTTCAAAATGCACATATACATATGATTGTATACATAAAATGAATAAACATTCATTTTATTTTTTGTTTTAAGTTAGATACTCACATTTCTTCCTTCGGCGAACGATATAAATAATGACGTTGCTAATTAAAACAATGAACAAGGTTACCACGGAGTTGACAATGATAGTGGTGAACATATTTGAGCTCTCCGCGGCACAAGGGCAGAGATTTCCTGAAGCAAGAACTATAAATACTAATTAAAATTGTAACCAGGTATCTTTTTTCATTCGTAAAACCTTAAGGGGAAATGCTGACACAAGTTCTTGTAAGAAATCTTTCATTCACATTATTCAGTTACAAAACGAAGAACTATGAGCCTTGTTATTACCCAGAAAACCAATATAGATGCATATGCAACTAGGAATCAAACGAAATTCAACATTTTATTCTTGTTCTGTGAGATGATAGAACTTATCTAATATATCCAAAATGTATGACTGGTGAGTGTTCATACTGTGTGAAGACTGTAAACATGAAAGCAACCGTAAAATTAATACAAAGAATTTTCGAACCTACTATTGCTTTTTTTTTCGAGGAATCTGAATCTCGCAAGGTAATTGACCATAACATTCTTCACAGTTGTGACTGAAGAATGATTGAACACACGAGTTCGGAGGTTTTAACTGTAAAAAAAAAATCTGGAAAAAATCATATTCTCAGCTGAAAAGAGAGGCCCATGGGCCACATCGCTCACCTGAGCACTAAGAGTAAGAAAAAGTAGAAAATGGTTTTTTATTGTAAAGTTTAAATCCAAAAGTAGTCCCATGACCAATTATGGATTTGCTATTTTTTAGAAAATGATTTTTAAATATATCTTTGAAAATTTGGTCGGCCATTTTGGCCCCGCCTTACCCCCGGGGGTCATGATTTGAACAAATTTGAATCTACACTACCTGAGCATGCTTCCATATAAATATGATGAATTATGGCTTTGTCATTCTTGAGAAGAAGATTTTTAAAGAAATTTCCTATATATTTCTATGTAAAACTTTGGTCGGCCATTTTGGCCCCGCCCTACTCCCGGGGGTCATGATTTGAACAAACGTGAATCTACACTACCCGAGGATGTTTCTCCATAAGTTTCATCTTTCCTGGCACAGTGGTTCTTGAGAAGAAGATTTTTAAAATATGCCACCAAATTTTCATTTATTCCCAATTATCTCCCCTTGAATGAGGCCCTTCATTTGAATAAACTTGAATTCCCTTCACCCAAGGATACTTTGTGGCAAGTTTGGTTGAAATTGGCCCAGCGGTTCTTGAGAAGAAGTCGAAAATGTGAAAAGTTTACAGACAGACGGACACCGGACAAAATGTGATCAGAAAAGCTCACTTGAGCTTTCAGCTCAGGTGAGCTAAAAAAAAGAATGGCACCTAAAAAAAATATCTGGGTTTGGCGTCTTAAGAAGCATGTTCTTAAAATAAAATAAGTTTAATCTTCAAACTCTTCAATATGAAATTGTACATTTTAAAATTGCTTACATGGATCTTAAGTACTTTGTGAAACTTAAAGTAAATTCTCTTCAGCAGATATTTTGAGATTTTTGTGATACTGTAAATTATATACAATACAAAACAAAGTTAATCTATCATCTGACTTCGGCCTGAAACGTCATTTTATTGTTATATTGTTATTTTTACCATATATACAAACTTCCGACTCCTAAAAAAATAAGGCAAGTTTAAAATATTTTAATGAACTTTAAAAACTAATGATTTTCAATGAGAATTTAATGAGAAAATTCCGCTAAGTAAAAAATATGTTTAAAAAGTTAATTCAGAGAGTTATTTTGAAAGATATTTAACCAGATTTTTTTTTCTTATCCTGGCTTTTTTAAATTCTACTTTGATCAATCTTGCATTTATTTGCCCAATTCAAAAATACGTTACCTTACAAAACCAGGAAAAAGTTGCTCAAAGTCAAGTGATCATCGCGATGTCAAGTGTTATCTATGTTTAATTACATTATTTTTTTCAGGAAAAAAAAGGTTTTGTTTCATCCCTGGTAAGTGTGCACGTAGTTTATAAGCCAATGATTTAACTTATTTTCTTTCTTCAGACCAAGGTTATCTCTGACAAAATAACATAATTCCGTCTTCACTGATTGTATTGTTAACACCGTACCTGTCTCACATAACCTCCCCGTCCATCCATACTGACACCCTCCATCACATTCCCCTGTTACACTGTTGCAGCTGTTTGGTAACCGACAATTGTTGCTGCATTTTTGTGTACAGTTCTCACCGAAGTAGCCCTTGCCACATCCTTGGAAATCAAGAAAAGTACATTTTTAGTTAATTAAATTTATTAAAGAGTCTTAAGTTTACCTCTTATAGTTCTTTTCTTCTTAACCATTTCCAGGAGGCATATAATACAATGTAGTTATACATAATGCCATCGATAAACAAGAGGCCCATTGACCACATCGCTCACTTGAGCACTGTAGTTCGGGAAAAAGCAGAAATCAGCTTATTACTGAAAATTTTAAACCCATAAGTGGTCCTAAGCAATCCTTAAAAGGGAAAGGGTATGATTTGAACAAACATGAATCTACACTAAATAGGGATGATTGCATATTTCTTTGGCTACAGTTGTACCTGTGGCTTTATTGCCCTTTACATTTGGACTTACATTGTGCCCCCCCCCCCCCCCCAGGGTGATGACTTAGACAAACTTGAATCTACACTACCTAAGAATGCTTCTATGTATATGACTAATCATGGCTTTGTCATTCTTGAAAAGAAGATTTTAAGGAATTTTTCTATGTAAAACTTGGATTCCATGTTGTGACCCCGCCCTATATACGTACTCCTAGAGGTCAGGATTTGAACAAACTTCAGTCTATATGTACACTACCTAAGGATGCTTCCATATAAATATGAATAATCATGGCAATGCTGTTCTTATTTTTAAAGATTTTTTTTTCATATATTTCTATGTGAAACTTTGGTCAGCCATTGTAGCCCTACCCTACCCCCGGGAATCATGATATGAACAAAATTGAATTTACACTACCTACGTGTAGGTGCTTTCCTATAAGTTTCATCTTTCCTGACACAGTGTTTCTTGAGAAGATTTTTTAAAAATGTTCCTATATATTTCTATGTGAAAATTTGTTCGGCCATTGTGGCCCCGCCCTTCCCCCGGGGGTCATGATTTAAACAAGTCTGAATCTACACTACCTGTTTCCATATAAATATGATCATTCATGCCTTTGCTATGCTTGAGAAGACGATTTTTAAAGAATGTTCCTATATATTTCTATGTGAAAATTTGATCGGCCATTGTGGCCCCGCTATACCCCCGGGGGTCATGATTTGAACACATCTGAATCTACACTACCTGAGGATGTTTCCATATAAATATGATCAATCATGGCTTTGTTATTCTTGAGAAGGAGATTTTTAAAGAATGTTCCTATATATTTCTATGTAAAACTTTGATCGGCCATTGTGGTCCCGTCCTACCCCCCGGGGTCATGATTTGAACAAACTTGAATCTACAGTACCTGAGGATGCTTCAATATAAGTTTCATCTTTCCTGGTTCAGTGGTTCTGGAGTAAAGGATTTTTAAAGATTTTCCCTATATACTCCAATGTAAAACTTTGATCGGCCATTGTGGCCCCGCCCTATCCCTGGGGGTCATGATTTGAATAAACTTGAATCTACACTACCTGAGGATGCTTCCATACAAGTTTCATCTTTCCTGGCACAGTGGTTTTTGAGAAGAAGATTTTAAAACAAACCACCAAACAAACTATTCAGATTGTAACATTTATGTCCGTTTTTCCTAGGGGGTACTATAACATAGGAAGGTTTCACAAAAAATAAACACCTAAAATATTTAATGCATAGATGCATGATACGTGCACATGTTACAGTATATTACATGTATAGAATACTTAGAAGATCGGAATTGATTTCGCTCGAGAACCAAATTTAAAAAAATTTTATCTTATTCAAATTTTTAATACATCGGTAAATATAACGAAACTGACAAAATAATTGGTTGTTTGAATAAACAAAAAAATTAACGCCCCATGCCAGGTTCGAACCAAAAACATTTCGCTTTGAGTGCACTAGCAGGTACATGTAGCCCAACTTACTGGAGAGAAGACCCTGATATAGAATTTTTTTTTAGTAAAACATGTTTTAAAATGTACAAATTTATACCAAATGTCTGATCTGGCCAATTTTCAAGTTATTTTTCAGCAAATCAAAGCTCAATTTCGGGAAAATATTTTCCTTTCCTGTTGCACAGGAACTTGATAAATAAAAAATTGTTAAATTTTCATGTGACATGTCGATAAAATTTTCACTTTTCAATTACGCCCAGATTCCTGCCGAATGCCAATCAAAAGCGCCCACGTTCTTTTGGCTTACTTTGGCGTTTTGATTATAGTCCGCTAAAATTTTAATCGCTAAAATAGTCAGTACTCTTTTAAGAATTCATCTCCAAAGAGTTGAAACCTTGTGCCAGTTAAAATACATTACGATTAAATCATTGGTATAACTTTGAGCAGACAAAACGCCAAATTTTACACCCGCCAAGAGAACCCGCTATACGATATTCCTGAATTATCTCCCCTTGAATAAGGGCGTGGCCCTTCATTTGAACAAACTTGAATTCCCTTCACCTAAGAATACCTTGTGCCAAGTTTGGTTGAAATTGGCCCAGTGGTTCTTCAGAAGAAAATGAAAATGTGAAAAGTATAGGACGACAACAACGACGACTACAACATAAACGACGAAGACGACAGACAACGGACAAGTTTTGATCAGAATAGCTCACAGGAGCATTCGGCTCAGGTGAACTAAAAAAAATATTTGTTGCCCTCTCCCGACCGACTAATTATTTCCCAACTCAAACGATTTTTTTTTCATTTTGTTCAATTTTTCCGTCGATAATAAGGTTTTATATTATCGCTGATACGTATGTCCGTAGTTTATAAGCCAATGTTTTAACTTATTTTCTTCCTTCAGATCAAGGTTATCTCTGACAAAATAACATAATTCCGCCTTCACTGTTTGTATTGTTAACACTGTACCTGTCTCACATAACCTCCCCGTCCATCCATACTGACACCCTCCATCACATTCCCCTGTTACACGTTGCAGCTGTTTGGTAACCGACAATTGTTGCTGCATTTTTGTGTACAGTTCTCACCGAAGTAGCCCTTGCGGCAT